ACCAAAACGCCACCTGTGGCCATATTTAGAACTTTGGGAAAATCATCGAATGACTTCTCCCGCCTGGGTGCGGCGGGAGGGAGTGTCAGACTCTTACTGACTAAAAACCACCCCGTTCCGACGCTCCTGCGCTTCGAGCCGAAGCCCCGATAACCCGTTAAGTTCTTTGCGGCTCCGAATCGGCATCGGCCCTATTGGGCCCCCCCATCCGTGGTAGTCTGATGGCTCTTTAAGGCACTCGCGGAACGCGACGCGCCGTACGCTCGGGTGTTTTCAATAATTACTGCATGAATGATTTCTTATCTGAGTTTTAAATGAGTTTTACACAAAAGTACACTTAATTGAAATTACAATTACTTTTAGAATAAATAAAGAAAACGTGTAATTAAGATGTAAAATTTACTTACAATTTCATACTAAAGCAAAATGGTACAGCTACAAAATTCCTCCAATTACAAATTAATGGAATGAAATACTAAAAATTATAGCAAAGAAACCAATAATATGTAAAAAAATATCAAGAACATAATGGAATCATTGGAAATGAGTACTTAAGTAAAACATGTTAAATACATTTTACTGTAAGGGCCCGTACACAAAACTACGATGCGACATCACATCGCTAAATTGTGCGAGATCCCTCTACGCATCAAACTTGCGAATTGATTCGCATCGCGCATCAAAATCTTACCTTCCCAAAATCTTCTGTGTGTCTTTTTCCTGTATCTCCTAAGCAATAACGAAAGTGCACAGTTCTTTTGACGATCCATACCACGACCTAGTGTTTAATTTATAATACGTTTAGTACGGTTGACGGTCGTCGAAGGAATGGTCACCCTGGAAGACGCCTCGTCGCACGAAATCTCATCGCAGCAATTCGTGTCGTAATCTTCTGCGTTGCGAATTTGCACCGCAGTTTTGTGTACGAGGCCTAAGGAAAAAAATTCTTGAATAATTCTTCGACTCCTCTAGGTGGGTTCCACGAAAACTTACTTACTTACTTAATACTAAGCTTTTCCTTTCAGTCACAAATGAGAGATAAATAATTTTGTTGTTAAATAGCCGATTTTGTCAATAGTTATTTGAATACCGTTGAAAATTGAACCTTAATAACGTGGCGTTTAAAGAGGTCGACAGGAATGTACACGTTTACTTTACTCGCGTTTTTAACTCATTGTGTTTGCGCTTTACCATCTATACTAGTAATTCCCGTGCGGTTTCGCTAGCTCTGCAAGGTTCCTATTGATCATAGCATGATGTTTTATAGGCTTCAACCTTCCTAGATAAATATACTATCCAACAAAAAAAAAAATTATAATCGGACTATAAATAACAGGTCAACATGCAAGTTTGGGTGAGACATGCCTTCGACACGAATTACTAGACCGGAGTGATACCACGGCCTCAGAGAAAACAGACGTGAAATAACGCTTACGCTATGTTTCGTCGTGTGAGTGAAGCTACCTAATACCCAATTACTGAATCTCCTACAATCCTGAAATCCCCATAATGCGTCGCGGAGAACCTAACGGGTAACCGGGGCTCCGACTCGACGTGTAGGAGAAGGAACGGGATGGTTTTTAGTCAGTAAGAGTCTGACACTCCCTCCCGCCTCACCCAGGCGGGAGCAGTCATTCGATGATTTTCCCCCTTAAAAAAAATCCCCATAATGCCGGTAACGCACTTGTAACGCCTCTGGTGTTCCAGGTGTCCATGGGCGACGCCGATTGCTTACCATCAAGTGATCCGTCTGCTTGTTTACCAATTTATCTCATAAACAAGCTTCAGCTTTGGTATTAGACAAATTTTTCGAGGAAAGATAATTTACTAAAGTTTCAATAAGAATCTAAACTTGGGCCTTCATTGACCATCCTGAGAAATGAACAAAATACCACGTTACAAGTGAACACATTGTTCGTAATTATTACCGAAATAATTACTAAAGTATTCTTTTTATGGTTATAATCTCCAAAGAAACGATTGATATAAGATGCATTTGTACCTATTAGAAAATAAATATAACGCCTTAGCAGTACATATTAGTAGGTAGTCATATATATAGAAATTTTCCGTTATCTCGTGTTTTTCTTATATCGTTTCAGCAAAAAATAATAATAAGTGATAATAGCCTACCATTTTCCTCTTCATTTTGTAAATATACCAATATTAGGGTCATTGGTAATCAGTACGCTTTCGTTTCTTATATAATAACATAACATAACATAACATCACGCCTTTTATCCCCGAGAGGTAGACAGAGGTGCACATTATACCACTCTACAATGTAACACCCACTTTTTATTATTTATGTTGTGATACCCATGTAATAGGGGGTGAGCCTATTGCCGTATACCGGGCCCAGTTCCAGACTCCGTGCTACTACTGAGAATTTAACCCAGTAATACTTTACCGACTCGGGAATCGAACCCGAGACCCCTTGCCCGGCACTTGCGACTACTAGGCCAACGAGGCAGTCTTATATAATACCCTTATAATATGTATATACAGAATCATGGTGGCCACATGGGTACGAGTTTGTAACTACAGCAAGTACCATTGTGACTGTTTCCGAGTCATATGTACTTTCTAAGATTATTCAGACACCACTGACAAATGGTGAAGGAAAATATCGTGAGGAAATCTAGGAAATTTGTAATTATCGCCAATCCGCATTGAACAAACATGGTGATTAATGATCAAACCTTTTACATGCGAGAAGGGCATTTTGTTAGCAGCGGCCACTTAAAGGCTGTTCATGTGTGATGTGTGTGATACACCGAGTCAATGAGTCTCTAAGAGTATTTTAAAGAATCATTTTCATTTCTCCAATGGTCTACGTGTGACTTTTGTAAGGGATAAACCGGTAAACGAGCAGACGGATCACCTGATGGTAAGCAATCGGTGCCGCCCATAAACACTTGAAACACCAGAGGCGTTACCCGCCTTTTGAGAATTGGGAATTTGAGGCCTCCGATAACCTCACTCACACGATAAAACACAACGCGAGCGTTGTTTCACGTCGGTTTTCTGCGAGGCCTTGGCATCGTTCGTGTCGAGCCGGTCCATTCGTGCCGAAGCATGGCTGTCCCACACTTAAATAATCGATGATCGGTAAATAATACTTGTTTTCGGTGAAAATTTAAACCAAACTTAATAACATTTTCCACCACAAATGGGGCCTAACAGGGCTGATGCCGGTACGGAGCCGCGGAAGACTTAACGGGTTGCCGGGGCTCCGGCTCAAAGTGCAGGAGTAGGAACAGGGTGGTTTTTAATCAGTAAGAGTCTGACACTCCCTCCCGTCTCACCCGGGAGGGAGAAGTCATTGGTAGATTTTCCCCCCCTCAAAAAAAAAAGGGTTGTAATTTCGCCTCGATGCATGAGTTTTCTCACTGAGCAAGATTATGTTTTCGAATCACTTATAAAACTGGAATTGTAGAAGCTTTTTACAGTTACCTCTTTGGTTCGGAAAATACGTCCAGTCGTTTAACGAACCACAATTGTGAAAGGCTCCGTGTTCGTGAAAGGATTATTTTTTACGATCCAGTTATAAAACTGGAGGCGTAGTCATTTTCTAACCATGAAAAGTATGAAAAACTTCGTACAAAGACTACGTTGCTTCAGTGTTTGACAGTATTTCATTGGATTATGGAATTATTTACTGCCAAAAACGATAAATTCACATCTGTTTTGGAGAATTAACAGGCATTGCTTAATGTGCGTTAGGTTTTTTGCATTCGGCTTTTAAATCATAGAAATAAAACATCACACATCACCAGCCTATAATGCCCACTGCTGAGCAAAGCCTCTTCTCACACGGAGTAGGTTTGAGCATTAATCACCACGCTTGCTCAATGCGAGTTGGCAATTTCAAACTTATAATTAGAAATTATAAGCTCATATTTCCTGACGATGTTTTCCTTCACCGTTTGTATGTGGTGATTTTATAATCTTAGAAAATACTTACATTTAACTTGGAAAAATCACATTGGCACTTGCCGATGATAGGTTTCGAACTCGCACCCTCATACATGAGAATCGGGCATCTTACACCTCCGGGCCACCACGACATCTTCATAGAAATGTAAATGTTATAAAAATGAAATTCTTTGAAAAAATATTAAAGGAGCTAGCAATTAGGAACTGACTATTACATTTCATATTATTGACACAAGTCTGATTTCAAGTATTCTTTGCAATTAGTATGTATACGAAATCCACAGAGAACTCCAGTATATAACAGTTATAAACTAGTCCTCACTGCACAAAGTATCGAACAATGTGGCAACTGCATTGTAGCTTCCTTGCGAAAATCCTCGCGGGTATTAAACTGTCAAACACCAAGCGGTCACCGGTGACCGCAACCTATTGTTCTATAATTGTGTCTACAAAGACGGTACTCGACGAGTTAAACGGTACACAAGCTCATTTTCATTTCTGGCTTGCCGCCAAAACCTGACGAGAATAAGATATTATGTATTTTCATCACTTACAGAATTAAATTATAATGAGGATAGCTGAAAAGTAAAATAATTCTATAACCTAGAAACTATAGCTTCATATTTATATTATTTTTAGTTTTGCTCTGAATTGAAATGGTTGCAAAAGTATATTTGAAAAGTGTCATTGCAGTTTATTTTTCATTTTGTACGCCTATACCATTGAACAGATATACATGCTATATACATATTAGACTCACCTCCTATTACATGAAACTCATAACATAAATGGTGAAAATGGGTATTACATTGTACAGTGGCATTAAGCGCCGTAATGTGCACTTCTGCCTACCTTTTCGAGAGTAAAAGGCGTGATGTTATGTCATGTTATATACATGCGCAAGATTTATTCATAATTTAATTATGTAGTAGTAAGTTGTAAGATTTTGAGTACATAAGGGTAAACATCGATTAGAGATTTTTTTGGAAAACACAACAGTAATGAACCTATTTGTTAATTGTTTCTAAAACAATTTTTTTTAATGTTACTCTTCTTTGCAGCACCGCCCAAGTAGCAAAAGGACTGATGGCGTTCGTGATCTTCCTGTCCTTTGCCCTGCAGTTCTATGTGCCCATGGAAATGATTACCAGGAAGAGAAAAGGCAACGAGTCGAAGTATGAGAACCTGGTCCAGGTCGTCATCAGAACTGTGATGGTTACTGTTGCAGGTGAGCAGACAAACTTTACATTAGATAGATTAACTTTTATTTCTCGAAAATGTTGAAAAAAGCCATTGTTCTATATCTATGCAAGTGTGGGAGAGCCTTGCTTCAGCAGGAATGTGCCGGCTCGACCGGAGCGGTACCACGGCCTCACAGAAAACCGATGTGAAACAACGCTTGCGTTGTGTTTCGTCGTATGAGTGAGGTCACCGGAGGCCTAAGTACCTCAGTCTCCCTAATCCCCCGAATCTCCCACAATCCTCTAATTCCCTATTCTCAACAGGCCGGTAACGTACTTGTAGTGCCTCTGGTGTTCTAGGTGTCCATGGGCGGCGCCGATTGCTTACCATCAGGTGATCCATCTGCTCATATACCGGCTTATCCAATAAAAAAATACATTCTTATAATGTTTCGTGAATTAGAGGTATATAAATATCGTCTGCGTGACATAGCGACTTCTGTATAAATTGGGTTTTTGAACTAGTCTTTGCCAAGGCTTTACGACTGACAATTGATTCGAATGCTCCTCATGAAAATGAACCTCTAGAGTAGTTATGCGAGTCAGCCGAAAATCAATAATTAATTTGCTTATGTCTTACAGAAATATATAAAACGAGTAAATATACAACATGTAACTTAAATAACGCACATCCTGAAAATAGTTTGTTCAGAATCGTTAACTAAATCGATTTATATAATTTTTGGTATAGGTAATTTTGTATCCCAAAAATAATTAAAACTACGGAAATTATTGTCATATTAACCCTGTATTGTTAAAACAAATCGAAATGGACCGTAAGTCAAAGCAATAAGACTTTTATTAAAATCGCAGTTTTATTTGTATTCATACAAATTCTATCATTCAATACAAAATAAAGAAAAATAAACCTTATGACAAGACCAGTAAGGCCAGTATACATGTTAAATTAAAAATTTAGTGTATGTATTATGATTATAACATATTATTCTAATTGGGGTATTTGAGAGTATGCGTTAATTACGTTACATGTTGTATAATATTACCATTTTAACTCGTCGAGTACCGTCATTATAGACACAATTATAGAACAATAGGTTGCGGTCACCGGTGACCGCTTGGTGTTTGACAGTTTAATATACCATTTGTTAACAAAACTGTCAGTTGACATTGTGACTCTTCAGAATTTTCAGTTAATCTCTGAATTAAGTACAATACTCATACACAATATAACTACAAATACAGATGATTCCCCTTGATCCGATCAGCAAAAAGTATTATACCATCGGAAATGTGTATAATGTGACCGACTTTTTCCCTTACCAAATAAAGCTCCTTTTAACCATCCAATTTGTAGTCCAATTAGTTGTCCAGTGGTAATCTTGTGGATGTGTCGCAATTATTCGGTTTCAGACCCACATTTTGAAACTGCTGTCTATATTGCTTTTTTGGTCCGTTTAGTGTTGTTTACTTTAATGGGTCTTCCCAAAAGGGAGTGTTTTGTAATACTTTAATAAAATTCAAGGTCACCAGAGATGCTCTATACAGGGTGGAATTATCTAATGCCACCTAAAGGGAAAGTACTATTAATACTTAAGATAGAAACTTTTACTAAAAGAAAACATTTCTTTATATTTGAAAAGAGTCAAAACTGTGTTCATAGAATTTTAAAAATTAGCTTGTCTCACACGGTAATCGAGTCAACTAAAACCTGTCAAAGTTTACACCCTGTACTTTTATTGCATTGATCATTCATTGTTTTTGTTTCGTTTGTTAGAGAGATTTCATCCTTATTGACCCTAACAATCGATGCAATAAAAATACAGGGTGCAACTTTTACAGACTTTAGTCGGTTCGATTACCGTGTGCGGCAAGCTAATTTAAAAAATCTTTCAATGCAGATTTCTTTTTTCAGAAATAAAAGAATGTTTTCTTTAAGTAAAATTTTCTATCTTAAATATTAAGAGTAGGTACTTTCTCATCAGGTGGCATAACATAATTCCACCCTGTATAATGATACGTAAAAATATATGTAAATTGAATTCTAAGTTGTAAACAACAAGATTTAAACTGAAAACTATCACATTCTGTATCTTAGTCATTAGTATAATGAACGTTTGTATTTGTTACAATATCATTATTATTTCTTCGACTGACCCAATTTATTTCAAAGTCATTTTGTGTAGGATTAGTTTCACTGTCTCTAGTTTTATGAAGAACTGTGATATTCCCTTTTGTACCTATTAGACGCAATACGTCATTCTTGTTTAGACCCTCTGTTAAATATTAAATCACAATATAATAATATAACAATTCTGATAGTTTCTTTGTTTGGCTGTTCGGATGTTTATCCGTCAATCACGCGGAAACTACTAAACGGATTCTGATGAAATTTGGTATACAAGCAGGGTATGGGCTGATTTAGGTGATAGTATATGATATATTTTTATCCTAATTACATAAATAAATCAATACATAGTATAAAACAAAGTCGCTTTCGCTGTATGTCCGTATGTATGCTTAGATCTTTAAAACTACGCAACGGATTTTGATGCGGTTTTTTTTAATAGATAGAGTGATTCTTAAGGAAGGTTTGTATGTATAATACATGCATATTGCACCCGTGCGAAGCCGGGGCGGGTCGCTAGTAAAAAATAAAAATCTTTAATTTTAAGCGTCGTCGATAGCCCATAGAGTGATAATAAACAGTAAAAACTTAAAAAACTATGTTAGTAGTAACACACGAGTACAAAAATAAAATAATACATTCACAAATACAGAACAGATTATTATTACAAGCTTTATCAAGCCCCACGTCTGACATGCAGCTTGTTAAAACTATCTATTGTAGGCCCTTCTAGCCTTTCTGCAAACACCTTCAGAACGCCGTTGCTGCTTCCCCTCAGTCTGCGCAGCACTGATGCCACTTTTTTGAGCATGATCGCAAAATATTCGTCAGTGTGCGCATCCGCGGACATACCTGACGCATTAATTAAATGCTCTCGTGGGATAAAACAGGAATGTTAAGAATAGCATAGAAATGCGGACAAAGTCGCGGGTAACAGTTAGTTGTAGATAATTACTTTGTAGACCTTAATAGGAATTTGAAGTATTTAGGAGCAACAAGCTACATTAAGTGACTGACATAAATACCTTTTACAATGAAATCAAAAGTGGTTGTTAGAACATAATTGAATTAAATAATTCTACTGTCTTGATAATACAGAATATCTGGACGACGAATTTATTTGAAAAGTATCATCATCATCATAACATCACGCCTTTTATCCCCGAAGGGGTAGGCAGAGTTGCACATTACGGCACCTAATGCCGCTGTACAATGTAACACCCACTTTTCACTATGATGTTATGAGTCCCCAGTAATAGAGGGTGAGCCTATTGCCATATATACCGGGCACAATTCCAGACTCTGTGATACTACTGAGATTCTTTTTAAAAACCCAATAATACTTTACCCCACCCGGGAATCGAACCCGAGACCTCTTGCCTGACAGTCGCACTTGCGACCATTCGGCCAACGAGGCATTTGGAAAGTAATTTCAATAAAACCTAAAACTACAATTAGAACCCATTCCATACATAAATTAAATGAGGTCTTTTCAACTAAATAGAGATAAAATTTTACTATTTTCAGAATAATAATGTAAATGATAACGATTTTTTAAATTCACTCTTTTATTTTCATAAAGTTAATTACAAATTAACTTTTCTTTAACACTAAATTCGAAACAAATTTGAGGCAGATGCCAGATGGGAGATTCGGTTTTAAAAATAAATAAAATTTAATACATTATAATCTACTTACATTTACCACCGGCTTTGCCCGCGTAATTTAACCTACGTGTATACTGTCTATGTATACCTACGCAAGAATTTAAAAAGATTGGAAGAGTGGATACATTTTATGGAGATAACAAAAAAACGCTCACTTTTCCGTCTTACAACTTTTTTTTATTATACAATTAGCTTCTGCCCGCGACTTCGTACGCGCATTCCCGTTTTCTCCCATTCCCGTAAGATTTTCAAGATTTATTCTGTCTTAAGAACCTTTTCCTAATAATAACAAATACAACAAAAAGAATTAGTGAAATTGGTGCAACCATTCACGTATGATGCCGTGACCAAGGGGAAAAGGGATTCATTTTTATACAACTGGCGATCGAGAGAGAGAAGTGAGAGAGAGAGCGCGTCAACTAGCGATCGTGAGAGAGAAGGACAAAGAGAGAGAGAGAGAGAGATTGTGATAACATGAGGCCGGTGACGGCGCGCCATTGCTGCGCTCGAGCCGCAAGCGCAGCCTCACGTACGGATTGCTCAAAAAGGTTTAATAGACTCCTTTATTTTTGTTAAAAAAAAGTCAGTATTTTTTTTTTAGATATAGCTAAAGAGTTTGATTGTTTGAACGCGGTAATCTCCGGAATTACTTATCCAAATTGAATAATTATTTTTGTCTTGGATAGTGCATTTATCGAACGAGGTTATAATATGCAAAACATCACGCTACAATAACTAGGAGCCGAGCAAAGCGGGTGAGACCGCGTGGGAGTAACTCGTTTATTATATTAGTTAAGGTTGTAGCTATTCTAAATTAAGATGTTATGTCTGTGTTGCTTATAAATAAAATTGTATCTTATGGATTAAATTCTATATTCTTGGTCTTATAAACCACTCAACTTAAGATTAAATATTAAGATTGCCTTTTATTACTTAAAGAGGTCCCAAAACGATCCGTGATATTATTCAGCGAACTGTTTTTACTACAATACGTTTTTAATTTTCGATATTAATAAAAATTGTGTGCAGAATTATTATTTTTCGAAATGATTGTACTGCAAGATTAATGTTTTATAAAGATTAGATACTTGCATTAAGTATTTTGAAGCAAAAGTCTTATCACCTTAGACATAAGGTTAAGTCGCTAACGGGTAACCGGGGCTCCGGCTCGACGTGCTGGAGAAGGAACGGGGTGGTTTTTATTCAGTAAGAGTCTGACACTCCCTCCCGCCTCACCCAGGCGGGAGCAGTCATACGATGATTTCCCCCCTTAAAAAAAATGAAAAAAAGACAAGGTTAAATATAGGATACCATAAACTTCTTCGCTATGTAATAAAAGTTTTTTTTATGAGATAAGCCGGGTAACCAATCGGTGGCGCCCATTACCGGCCTTTTGGGGATTGGGATTAGGAATATTTGGGATTTGGGGATTGGGGAGACTGGGGAAGGGGTAATGGGGCCTCTGATATCACACACCGTGACGAAACAAACGCAAGCGTTGTTTCACGTCCATTAATTAAAGTTCTGTATAAAGCCAAAAAATATAAATTAAAAAGTATTGGACTCATTTTTGTCAAATTTCTATATTACATGTTCAACTTTATTGTATTGACACAAAGTCTAAAATCTAATGATTAAAGACAGAATTGAGTAGGGTTAACAAGCTGGCCACTGTACCATAATAATATAAGTAGTACTGTACTATGTTATTTTTTTTTAAAGTACATTAAATCATTTAAATAATCTTTAAATTTTTACTTTCTTTGTCCACAGTTGCCATCGCCGCAGCATTTCCCAACTTAGAACTGGTCATCAGCTTCGTCGGAGCAGTTTTCTTCTCAACCCTCGGTCTTCTGATCCCAGCAATAGTGGACACGGTCTACCGATGGGAGAATCGTCTGGGTCGCTTTAATTACATTCTCTGGAAAAATACACTCATTGGAATAGTTTCCATTATAGCCCTATTCTCTGGAGCTTATGTATCTGTTCAAGGCATGATCGAAGATTTTGGTGGACACAGTCATGAGAACCATGTATTGTTTGAAAATGCTACTTTGACGTGATTCTGGATTAGTTGGAATGGATGGTTGGTATGTGGAATGTATGTCGTCATACATTTTTGCCTGATTATGTATGGTATGTAGATGGAAGTACAATATATGGTGGATTCCATACATATCTACATATGTATTTCGTGTAGTGCCTTAGATAAATAAAAGTAGATGGTTGTGATTTTGTTAAAGTCAAGTTACCATATATATTTAATTAGTAAATAAAGTACTTAGTAAATGATTTTAAGTAAAATACAAATTAGACTAATGTATTGCTATAAAATTTCAATTTCAAAGAGATTGAAGATCATAAACTTAGCCTTTGGAACCTCAAATTGGCTTGAGATTAAAATTAATGTACATTAGGTATATCTAGATTCTGAAATTCTAGCAATGAATTCATTTTAAATAGCTAAGGTGCCTAATTGCTAGTCACCTAATTACTTTTGAAGATAATCGTAACTAGGTTTAGTTTATTATGAGTTTTATAGAGTGTAAGTAAATAGGTATATATTTTTGACAATTCGGACTCGTACACAAAACTGCGATGCGACGTCGCATCGTAAAAATGTGCGAGCTATCTACGCATCGCAAGAACTTGCGAATTAATTTGCATCGCGCATCATAATCTTATCTTCCCAAAATCTTCTTTGTTTCTTTTTCCTGTATCTCCTAAGCAATAACAGAAGTGCACACTTCTTTTTATGACCTAGTTTTCTATTTAAAATACGTTTAGTACGGTTTACGGTCGTCGAAGGAATGGTCACCCTGGGAGACACCTTGTCGCACGAAATCGCATCGCAGCAATTGGCGTCGTAATTTTCAGCGTTGCGAATTTGCATCGCATCGCATCGCAGTTATGTGTACGAGCCCTTACACGGCTTGCAAAGTGGAAATTTATAGAAATTGCGGTTTTTTGTGGCGTAGGTACATGAGTCTTTTTTGTAATTTATTTAAATTAATCTTGTGTGAATTTTGTATTTAAAGTACAAAAAGTAATTACCTAATAAGATAGTGTTTTTATTAATTTAAATGATAATACTGGATGTTTTGAATTATTTGGTAACTCAATGTTGATTTAAATGTTCAAAGAAATTGTTTCTATGTAGGTACGACTTTACACTCGTGGTTGGTTAACTAATTGAAATATATTTAACATTCAACATAGTCGTGCACGAAAATTAATGTTATAGCGAAAAGAAAACCGTAATTGAAAACAGTGCAAGTCATATTTTAAGCAATTAATTTTACTCATTGATTACCTTTTCAATTTTCAGATTATCTTATGTGCATGCTGTAGATTTCTATCAGTATAAGTTGACATTTTGTAGTACGTAAAAAACTGTGAAAGAGAGATCAACTTATAATGGACATGTGTTTTATAATAAATGTGCCGTCATCTAAGCAATATTAATATTATATAGAGATCCTTAATCCACTATTAATTATAAGTACAATATATTATTAAGTTTGAATGGTTTATTCAGGTGAATTAATGAGAAAAGCTCTACCAGTTTCGAGTCACAGAGGGACTCTTATTCATGAGCAGCGTAATCAGACGCAGCGACGTCGAACAGCCTACTGTTAGTAGTTTAGTATGTCTCACGATAGTTGTTTTTATAATAACTATCGTGAGTCATACTTTATATATACATATGGCACTTAATGTCACTGTACAATTTAACACCAAATTTTCACTATTTATATTATGAGTCCCATGTAATAGGAGGTGACCCTATTGCCATATACCGAGCACAATTCCATACTCTGTACTACTACTGAGATTGTTTTTAAGCCCAGTAATACTTTGCCCGACCCGGGAATCAAACCCGAGACCCCTTGCCCGGCAGTCGCACTTGCGGCTACTCGGCCAACGAGGCAGTCAGCCAAATGCCATTTAGCGATTGTCTACATGTAGAATAGAAAACCTAATTATATGGAATTAACGTACTTTTTGACACTAGTCAGTGTCATCCCCATACATTTTGATTTCTACTCTATCTGTAGAGGTAGACAAGCGCTAAAGTGGTGTTGGCTAAAGGCCCAGATTAGATCATTAGCTATGACCATTTAGTAATGTGAAAACTCTTTTATGCAGAATAAAATAGATGTACGTTCTTATAAATATATATATTAATAAAAATAAATATGTCTCAGTTATAGTAAAGTTATTCTTAGTTTATACTTTAGTACTACGTACTATATTCTGTAACGCGATCGTCACAACTATTTCATAATGTGTATATAGTATAATAAATTATTATTAATATAATTAATAATGTAAACAGTGTTATTGTAAAAATAATAAATAGCTTTTACTAGTAATATATTATGTTTTTTTATTATTATTGTGTAAGTACCTATATTCTAGATAATTTTAGTTACATACATAAAAATCATTGGGAAGAGCAAAGTTTCAATAATTGCGACATACACATAATTATACAAAAAAAAAAAAATATATATATATATATGTATATACAGACAGACAAATTGAGAACCTACACTTTTTAGGGAAGTCTGTAAAAAAATAATTTTCTCCATAATAGGTATGTTCTCTTACATCTAATACGGTTTAATATTAATTATCTCGTAGGTTATTTACAAGAAACAAGACAATAAATGAACAAAACCATTGAGAAGTAATAAAATAATACAAATAATCAAGAATTTTGAAACAAACGAAGAGACATTAATATTTATTATAGAGAATATTTTAAACAGTTGTGATTCAAATGATAAAGGACTATTTTATTCATATTTTTATTTATTAATTAATTCATTTTGGGTAAGTGAATACTTTGTCACTTTTCATAATTCCATATAAGTAACTTTATATGTAGGTACCAAAGAAACAATGTAATCAAGAATTGTACTGTGAACCTAATTAAAAAAGAGTAACCTATGGAGTTTGCTCATTCTTCTCCATAGGAATCTACACTTTGGAACGAGCAAGAAACTCCATCATCATCATCATCAACAGCCTATAAATGCCCACTGCTGAGCAAAGCCTCTTCTCACACGGAGAAGGTTAGAGCGTTAATCACCACGCTTGCTCAATGCGGGTTGGCGATTTCAAACTTATAATTAGAAATTATAAGTCCAGGTTTTCTCACGATGTTTTTCCTTCACCGTTTGTCAGTGGTGTCTAAATAATCTCAGAAAGTACATATAACTCGGAAAAAGTCACATTGGTACTTGCCGTTAGTAGGTTTCGAACCCGCACCCTCATGCATGAGAAGTGGGCGTCTTAAACCTCCGAGCCACCATGACGTGTTACTCCATAGGTTACTCTTTTTTAATTAGCTTCACAGTACAATTCTTGATTACATTGTTTCTTCGAGCTTCACTAAAGGACTGACCGATAGACTGTCATTTTTTCTTTAATATTTAAATATTATATTTTGTCGTTCAAGAGTAAGCACTTTTTTGAATTAGATCAAGTAGCCAAGTAGGCATTTGGTCTAATTGAAATAAATGACTTTGACTTTTGGACTGAAATACATTAACTAAAATATCGGTTTATTTTTATAAGTATACTAAGAACCGCTCTTTTAGTTTCGAGTCACAGTGCGACTCTTTCTCATGAGCAGAGTGCGTATACCGACAGTTAAACATACATATTTGTGCCCTCTTGTAGTTCCAGAAGCAATTTGTTGAATTGTTCAAGGTTATACAATCAGTTCTGGATTTTGTTCAATACTTGTCTAAAGTCTGATATTGACATACGATAGTTTAACATCTAATTCTAAAGCGCTGGAGTGCTTGCACCAAAGGCCGAGTTCTAATTTACACTTCGGTTTCAAGTATATATTGAACAGCTTTGTGATTTGTCATAAAGTAAAAAAAAGCTAAAAACTAGGTAATATGTACCACATCATAGATGGGGTCCAGTAGGTACAGATGGGGCCCAGTGAGGCTGATGCCCGATACGGAACCACGGAAGGCCTAACGGGTTACCGGGGCACCGGCTCGAAGAGCAGGAGTAGGAACGGGGAGGTTTTTAGTTAGTAAAAGTCTGATAATCCCTCTTGCCTAACCCAAGGTAAGAGAAGTCAAAGGATGAAAATAAAATGTGAACGATAATGTCATCAACGGCCCATAACAGTGTTCTATCAGTGAACATTTCATTGTGTGTGCACCAATGATAATATTGGCCTTCTGTACATAAAATACTTTTAAATGTGTGTTCGCTCGGCTATACTTATTACTTACAATTAACTTACAATCCTTATCAAAAAGAATTTAAAATTCATCATTCTATTGTTAACTTTAAGGCACATTTCATAAATTGAAAACATAATATCACGCCTTTTATCCCTGAAGGGGTACGACCGTACAATGTAACACCCCCTTTTCACTATTTATGTTATGAGTCCCATGTAATAGAGGGCGAGCCTATTGCCATATATCGGGCATAATTCCAGACTCCGTGCTACTATTGAGAATCCTGTCCGTCCCGGGAATTGAACTCTTTACCGGCAATCGCACTTGCGACCACTCGGTCGTCAGTCTCATAAGTCATATTTCTCATCAAAAATTCATTGACTAGTGACACCTTTACAGGATCTAAATAACTGTTTATATTTTTAACTGAAGACTAAATTTCATCTTAACAATGTAATCGTTCAATTATTCATTGATCGTCGAAATTGGAAAAGAAACCACCTGGTGATCCATTTAAAGTCTGCCCACGCTAACCACGCTGGGAATATCTTGGTATAAAATATCGAACAAAGAATATAATTAATTATAACTTCCTACACAACTTGTGACCTCCTTATAGAAAGATTAAACATTTATTAGAAAAATTAAAATCTTTCTACGAAATTTCCTCTTAGGTAGAACATTCATACAACGGGGTAAAGTCATAGCTAGACGAGAGTTTTACTTTTAAACACGCTATTCGACCAGTTCCAAGGTACTCCAGGGTGCCACTACCATGATCTGTATGTGTGACAATGATGTGTGATGGTATCGTGGCGATATTTTCTTTTCAAAAATGCTTCCAGATTTTTCTGACGACGTTTTAAAAAACTTTGAAAATTGCCATATGCTGAACATGTAAATAGCTGAGCTCAGCGAACAATTCCATATTTCCTTAAACTGTAATTTCTAGACCAACTCCTACTAGAAACTTTGAGCTGTGATATTACATTCTAAACGTGTGTGCAGTATGAAGTGATGACTATTTTGAAAAACTCATTCTCGCCAAGAATCTTTTTTTATTTTACTAAACTAGGTACCTATAGTATATTTAGTTGTTCTAAGCAAAATTTAAAATATTAAATATAAATATTTTACTACATTCACAGTTTTATTTGGTTGTAGAAATTGGAGTTTCTTTAGAAATGAAATCAGTAGATGTTTTGATTTTTATAATATGAGATTAAAAAAGCATCGACCTCATTAGCTTTAATAAGACTATAGTTTACCAAATTGCATAAAATCTCCATTGAGGCTACATGTATTTATATAACAGTGTGTATATATATTTTTTTTTTAAGGCGGGAAAATCATCGAATGACTGCTCCCGCCTGGGTGAGGCGGAAGGGAGTGTCAGACTCTTA